CACTAACTGGTCAAAGTGGGGACGCTGGGTACGGTCTTCTGCCAAGTGTCCAACATAAGTAGATGTAGTCCAGGAGGACAGCCTGGAGGTGGGGGCAGCCGGAACTCCTGCTGTATTGCATTTAGCACCTAGGGATTAGAGGAAGAATATGGTGAGGGAACCTTGTAAGTGGAAAGAGTATATTGTTAAGTAAGGGGGTGGGCTGAGATCAGGTGGAGCATGAGGGCACACTGGTGAAGGAACTTAAAAATACAGAAAGCAAGAGCCATGAGATCTTAGGGAGGGAACGGGTCACAGAATGGAGGTCTTAGAACGTGGGAGTCTGTGAGGCTGGTGGGTGGGAAGGACCAGGGGTGGGGAAGCATCAATGTCTAGGTCAAAGCTCACCTCCTGGTCACTCATGTCCCAGTAGGGCCGTTCTCCATAACTCATCACTTCCCACATCACTATCCCAAAGCTCCAGACATCGCTGGATGTTGTATGTTTTCCATGTGCAATGACCTCGGGGGCTGCCCAGCGAAGCATACAACTTGGGCCCTGAGGGGTAGGGTTAAAAGTACCAATAGCGATAATCACAACAACAGTCACATTTATTGAGCAACTACTCTGTGCTCAGACGTGAGTCAAAGGTCTCACATCAAGCATCTCTCTTAATCCTCACAACAACCCTGCAGGGTAGATGATATCTTCATTTTGTAGAGGCTGAGGCATCAAGTGATATGAACTTGGGCAAAAAGTCACAGAGCTTAGGGTGGAGTGCTCAGAATTTGGGCCCAGCTGCTCTGACTCTAGAGTACCTGTGATCATTAGGGGAAAGGCAGGAAGTGGTTCTAGGTTTCTGAGGTCTCCCACCTTCCCCTTCTCAAGTCCTGAAATCCTTTAATGCCCCCTTTGCCCAGGCTTCTATCCTGGATGAAGCACAGGTGAGCTTCATCCCTTCACACACAATGATATGCCGCCCAAGGTCCCCACCCCAGGTTCTGGCTCATCCTCCAGCACCCGCTGAAGAATGCAGAGCCCCATACGGTTCTCACCTGAGGGCTGTGACCAAGCCTGGCCACTTTGCACACCAGGTGGCTATTGACCAGCACACTGTGGGCAGAGAGCGCTCGGTGGACGAAGGCAAAACTGGACAGGTACTGCATGGCGGCGGCCACTCCCCGCTGCATGGCCACCAGCTGCAGGCTGCTGAACTGGCCCTCCCGCTGCTGAGGGGCAGAGGGCAGAGGTCAGCAACTACGTGGGAACCTCCACACATGCACAGCAGACTTTAGCATGAGAGAAGTATGGGTTTGGGAAAGAAAATGGCTGGAATTGAAGCTTGAAGACTACTGGAATTTGTGTAGGAGGAAGCCAAGTAATAGTCTCTGTCCTTGTACAATCCTAGAACTGCGCACTTTCCCAGAACCAAAGGTCCCTCCACCTTCCCCCCAGACAACTGAACCCTTAAGGAAC